CTTCCTGTTCCTGTCTCCCCTTGTAAATCGATTTGTATTGTCTTATTGTCTATTCATGTATTCTTGGAACGGGTTGTACAAACTAATTTCGTATCACTTTTGGTGATATGACAATAAAGTCCCTTCCCTTCCTTCCTTCCAATTGTTTACCTTTCCTAGATTGTGTTGTGCACATTGAAAGAAATGGGGAACTCAGCCTGAAGGTATATAGGAAACCTACCCACACCGGTCAGTACCTTCTGTTTTATTCATGTCATCCACTTGAACACAAATTGCGGGTGATCCGGATCCTTCAGCACAGAGCCCAAAGCATTCCCTCAGAATCAGAAGGGAAAAGAAGGGAACACAAAGACATATACACAGCACTCCAGAACTGTGGCTACCAAACTGTGTGTTTGCTAGAAGCCCAGGAAGGAGAAAAAAAGATGAGGAAGCCCATAAGAGAAATAACATTGCCATCCCATATGTGGCAGGTGTTTCAGAGAAACTCAGGAGGATCTTTAACACCCATCAGATCCTGGTGCATTTTAAACTCAGCAACACTCTGAGGCAGAAACTTGTCCACCCTAAAGACAAGATTGCCTGTCACAGACAGAGCAATGTTGTGTATGCAGTGCGATGCAATGAGGAATGCTCTGACCTGTACATTGGGGAAACAAAACAACCATTACACAAATGTATGGCGCAACACAGGAGAGCCACAACATCAGGCCGGGACTCAGCAGTCCACCTCCACCTGAAGGAGAAGGGTCACTCCTTTGATGATCAAAAGGTGCACATTCTAGCCAGAGAGGACAAATGGTTTGAGAGAGGGGTGAAGGAAGCCATCCATCCATGAGGGGGCCTTAGACACCATTTGTCACCAACATACAATGTCGTCCTTAGTTCTCTCCCCAGTAAGTACAGACGTAACTCACACGTCCATTCAGGTAACACCAACGACCCCCACCCAGAGGACAGGGAGGGGGACAATCCACCATGGGGCCTACAACTCACATGACCATTTAAAGGTCATATTGTTTTGAGCACTGGGAAACCAACCACTAGGGTACACTAGGGTACACAAGCCAGTGCTACTATAGTGATACTATAGTGCCTGTCCCAAGCCAGGATAAATGGTGAGGGTTGCGTCAGGATGGGCATCTGGTGTAAAACCTTTAGCCAAATTAAATATGCGAATCACTAAAACTATTTCCATACCGGATCGGTCGAGGCCCGGGTTAACAACGACTGCCAACAGTGCTGTTGACCTAGAGCAGGCATGCCCAAACTGTTCCTCAAAGGGCCGTGTGGCTACAGGTTTTTTTTCTAACCAACCGAGAGCACAATCAACTGTCTGACTGAGACCAGTTGATTAAACCTCTCAACTCAGGTGTGCTACTGCTTGGTTGGAACAAAAACCTGCAGCCACAGCGACCCTTTGTGGAACAGTTTTTTTTTAAATAAAGATTAAATAAAGATCTGATCAAATAAAGAATCAAATACGAGATCTCAAGTTTTAACCCTTGCAAACAGTTCCAAAAGCACCCCTGCCCTAGAGGGTACTTGTGGAAATTGGGCTACTGTTGGTCAAAGACAAAGAAAAAGAGGAGGACGACTGATTCGAACAAAAAGAGAAAAGAGGACAAATAGAAGTGTTGGTCTGAAGGAAGAGTAGACATTTTGTGTGTGCAGGAGACCAGGTGGAAGAGCAGCAAGGCTAGAAACATTGGAGGAGGCTACAAACTGTTTTATCATGGTTCAAATGGGAAGAGAAATGGAGTAGGGGTGATCCTAAAGGAAGAACATGTAAGAAATGTGGTAGAGGTGAAACGAGAGTCAGACAGGTTGATGTGTGTTTTAGCGGTTAATCACAGTAAGGTGGCAGCAGGTGAGAGTGTAGCCAAACAACATTGCATGGTAGTGTGCAAAATGACGATGGAGGTGAAAAAAAGGAAGAGAGTGAGGACAGAGCAGAAGATCAAGTTGTGGGAATTAAGAAAAGAGAAATGTTGTGAAGACTTCAGGAAAGAAGTAAGGGTAGTCCAGGGCTGTGTTGAGGAATTCCCAGATGATTGGGAGACTACAGCTGCAGTGATTAGGGAGACAGGTAGAAAGGTGCTAGGTATGTCCTCTGGGCAGAGAAAGGAGAACAAAGAGACCTGGTGGTGGAATGATGAGATCCAGGAGAGTGTGGTAGCAAAGAAGAGACTGGACAGAACAGAAGAGAACAGACTGTAGTACAAAGAGAGGACAAGGGAGGTGAAGAGGGAAGTGGCCAAGGCCAAACAAAAGGCATATGAGGAGTTGTATGAGAGTTTGGAAACAAAGGAAGCAGAAAAGGAGGTGTATAGATTGACGAAAAATCAAGCTGGGAAGGATGTGCAGCAGGTGAGGTTGTTTAAGGACAGAGAGGGGAACGTAATCACAAGTGAGGAAAGTGTGCTGAGAAGATGGAAGGAATACTTTGAGGAGTTGTTAAATGAGGAAAATGAGAGGGAAAGTAGAAACGAGGAACCAGAGACTATTAGGAAGAAGGTAGATCAGGTTAGAAAGGATGAAGTTAGAAAAGCCCTGAAGAGGATGAAGAGTGGAAAGTCAGTTGGTCCTGATGACATACCAGTGGAA